AATTAATAGAAGCGATACTGGGGTGAAGCAGAACTGTGCATGCTGCGCAAGCTCCTGGACCACCTTTTCAAATGGGCGGTTTGGCGGTGTCAGACTTACAAATTCATCGCTCTCACCGATGGTAACCTCGATCATTCTATGCGGCTCAGGGACATAATGGTATTGATTGCCCATCTCTCTCGAGTAGCGTAATAACTTCGTATTTAGAACCAGTGAAATACTGCCAACGCGGCTTTGTTGTTAAAGCTCCTCCCTCTTTGATACCCGCAGTTCTCCATCTCTCGGTCCGAGTGGCGCAAAGGAAAAATTTAGAAATGACCGTTAAGTTCGGTGTACAAGACCTGAGATAAACCCTTGACTCCCCCAAAAAAGCAAGTCGTGGTTGGCCCACAGAAGCTATAACAGGTACCTAGTTATTGGTGTTGATTTTCGTCCGACACGCAGAGACGTCGATTCAAAATGCAAGGCATGAATTTACTGCCAACCTAGTTCTGTATTACTCTGCGGGAACTTTCACCACTCGTTTACCTCGTGATCGTGAGGGATCTAAGCCACCAATGACAACCAGTGACGTCATCGAAACCTCACCGCTGTCCAGCCTCTTTTTATAAGCCCGTTTCAGTCAGCGGCTGAGAGGGAACTTTTCCAGGCGTTCCGTCGTTTCTTTGATCATCTTCTTTCTCTGCACTTAAACACTTAAAACAGCTCTGGGTGAAACTGATGTTGAGCGCTCTCGTGTGGTGACTGAGCTGTCCTGGACATGAACTGAGTGATATGTAATACAATGACTAAATAATGGAAACGCTGAGATTAAGGCCTTAACCACCAGTATTGGGTTCGGTACGATAGCGAAGCAAGGCGACCATAGAAGGCAAAGTGCGCACAAAGCACGCCGTTCGAGATAGCACGTTGATCTCTACGTTAATCGCGGTGGGTGGGAAGGGTTGCAGCGGGGACCGGTGCTTGCAGGCCCGTAACGATTAGCGCCCTAATCGTGCAAGTTGTGCGCGCGATGTTGGCATGATCTATACAGGTATGGACCGCAAAACTTCCCTTGCGGTATCCTCTCTACTAGTAGGGCTAATCCCGGGGCTTGCCATCAACTAAAATGCGCAGAGTTGATCAATTCCTCTGAAACCATGCCATGCATTGGAATCCGTTCATAGTGCTGAAACTACGTGAAGAGTTTTAATTTGAGTGCGCACTTCACTAAAACACGACAAGAGAAGCGGACTGAGAATTGAAACATTAGGTGCCGAAGCCGCCAATAATCAGAAACGCAATGGAATCTCAAAATGCAGCCCTCTTGCCTGCAGTTGAAGTGGGTGTTTGGGAGCTCAGGGAAATGGAGAAGTGACAAATTTCTGCCAAAAACTTGACTCGTTGAACTTGTGGCGTATCTGAGGAAACTATTAACGGCGTACTTTGTCAGAGTGCAAGTGGCATGGGATCATTTCCCGGGAGCAAATGACTGATTTTATGGTCGTCGAAAGGTCAACGACAGGGATTCGAACATCGTATCTTTGCGGTTACCACAACGGACTCGATCTCTCTCACTTCTCTCTTAACAGATCATCTAGCGACTAACAGATAGTTCTTAACGAGAAAAGGGAGCGAACATGATCCAGGAGGATACTCACAGAAATGTGCGATGTTTAAAATTTTGTAAAAAATTGACCTGTTTCTTATGTTCGTTTACCATTCTTTTTATGAGTGAATCTAATTTCAGATTCTTAATCTTTTTAGAGTTTACCATTGGAATTTTTGAAATATTTCTTCCTACGATAATGGTGTTTTGTGAACGAGTGCTCACCTATTTGACGGCCTTGCTATTTCCATATACTGTGAGAAAAGGAAATTAATTGCTTTTGGTTTAGGAGCCACGCATTTTACTCAACAGGAATTTTCGACAAACTGCGCTCAAGGCATATGAACGTAGTTGGGAGCCTTGACCGTTTTTTGGCAACAATTCGTCAAAAATTCTTGAAAAAAGGGTAGCATGTGCTGGGCTCCACCATTCGTAAACATAGTGTATGGCGTGATATCCTTGTCCTTCAACAGCTGGAAAATGAAGAATTTGCAGCGGCAGGCTTATATGTGCACAGCATTCTTTTTTAAAGACGTAAAAAGAATTCTTATTTCCATATCCGGTGCCGAATATTCAGCGTGTTTTTTCGGTCCGTTAGAATTTTAACCGCATACCGTCAGTGATGAATGGCCCTTCAACAAATCCAAAAGGTCGAAGAAAGGCTTTTCGGCTTTTCGTTTCATTGGCGCTTCGTTAGTTCACCAGGGAATGGCAGGCGATTCCAAAATACATATGTATTCTGATGGAGGGCAGGGTCAAGAGTGCACTGGACAAAGTAAGAGATTGATAAGACCACCCCCTTACCTCCTTCGCGTTTTTGATGCTTTTCGTTGTAGTTTTTAGGGCCCACTTCCAGCCCGTCGCTGGTTTTTGAAGAATTTGTCAGGTTGGACTAGGATGAAGGAGGGGTACCAAGTGCAGCCAAATCGCAAAACAGTATGCAATTGTTGAAAATTCTCAGGAGCTCAAAAAATTCTCATACCGCGGACAGCTGGAGATTCAGTGCCCATTTTAACAAATATGAAGCTAGCTGAAAATTGCTTGACGGATGGCTGACATCGTGCCAATCCTCTATTAATTTAATTAGAGAGAGCAAAACCAAATTTTTTGCATTCACCGCTGTTTCGAGGTGCGCCATGCATTCTCATTCCTTCTCATTTATGAAGTGTTTCAAGAATGCATGCAGCCCATGTTACCGGTTTTCATACTTAAACAAGTTTGAGCCATCTGATCGGCTGGGTGAATAGAAGGAGGGGGCTTAGTTGGTCTCGAATGTAGTTTAATGAAGGATTCCACAATAAGGATGAAGGTTGGAGATGGAAATATACCTAGTGAAAAGGGCGCGGGACGATGCAGGTTTGCAGCTGAGGATGCCTCCAGCGGCCTACCAAGCCATACATGTGCCGCATGCGTCTCCACCCGCTCACCCCCTCGCCGCTGACCCTAATCGTGTAGCAGAAGGAAAGCGTTAAAGGATTTCCCCCGGAAAATTCTTGCATTTTTTCCAACATGAATATGTCAGTTGTGATCACTAGAGACAACACACAAAGTTTCACGCACGAAGATTCGGTTTCCGAAGAGAAACAAACTCACAAAACTACACTCTATGGACAGTCGAAGGTAGGTCGCGCGGAGCCAAAGGCGGGGCACCAAGAAGTGCGCCTTGGGACGGTGAGGTATCAGGAGACGCATTGAAAGAATCTGGTTGAAGGGTTCGATTTTGGAGAACAGAGACAGAAAATCGATAGAATGGAATGCAGTAGAAGTATATGATGTTAGTGGAACATATTAAGAAGGTCGGGAAAGAGCTCCCAGTGACGACGCTCCGAGAACCATGTGGAAGAATTCCCGTCCGCAGCATTTGTGACAGATATCAGGCGGTCGGACGTAACTGGTGTAGTGGCAAGTGGGACGCTTACCACGCGAGCGGTCTGGGGAGGATCAAATCCTGGGTCGTGAGTCGCCCGAGCCAACCAAGCCTTCCATCCCTCCGGGGTCGGTTAATTGGTACCAGACTTGTCTGGGAGGATAAAAAACACTGACTTGAACATCGGCTGGCCCCGCAAGTCATTGTATAGGCCACATGTCGGTATCAAACCTTTCACATGAGCGAAGGATGAAATGCGGTGCCCAAATGAATTAGATCACAGCAAGTGCTTATTCGTGCTGCTTTATCAGGCGTTAATAATTGAACGGCGTAGCAGCTTCATACCAGGTTGTCGAATTGGCTAACAATTGCAATTTTTCTGTTCTTTTCGCTCTTCTCATCGTGAACGATGGGACCCAAGCCAGTTATTTATGGATTAGATAGAACCACGATTTGTCTGGGAAGGGTTCCTTCAACATTGATGAGATCAGCACCGATGAAACACGCTTAAATCGTAACCAACGGCCTAAATTGGTCCCATTTCTCCTATTTTTTTCTTCCTCCTTGTATCACTAGCCATCTTTATCCTGATATCTACTATGCCGACTTTTTTTTTCGTAAACACCGCCTTCATATGGACCTTAAAGATCCCTCGACGGGGTCTTTGCTTTCGAGAGAATAGAGCTGTTTTGTGATTAGAATTATGGAATTTACGAAATGTGAAAATTATGAAAATTTCGGAATTGTTTGTTTCGATTGTAGAATTTATCCCCAACCCTGTTCCATCTTCCAGTCGCTCGACGAACTTTTTAAGGGAACTCCGGCATAGTACGAGGTAACATGAGAAGTAGGGTGAGGTCAAGCGTAGGACCTTAGGTGTGGATCGCATTTTTGGTAGACTTCATTTACACACGCTCAACTGAGTGGAAGCAGCAGCAATTTGTCCTGACGCCAGGCCATCTTTATCCTGTAAGGGCTACCTTTATACCCCACCATTATACCTCCTGGGAGTCAAAATAGCTACTAAAATTTGGGACGACAAAATGCATGCAATCACTCGAATTCAAACTTGGGGAGCCCTTTCATCAAGCATTATCGCGTGTAAATTGAGCTTCAAAATGTCTTAGCTTTAAAATGGCCAAGCATTAAATAGTTGAAATACTGATCTTTTGGGGATTTTTTTTGTGAAAAAAAATATTAACAACGTTTTATCGGAGCTTATATATAGCTTATCGGAGCGTACTATTGTCATCTCAACATTGATCAGCCTTTTCTATGATACGCCACACATTCTGCTGCGATATAATCGTTTGATTCGCCATTTCAGTACGACATATTAAACAGTGAACAGTGAGCACCAGCTATTGTAAGGGTGTTGTTTATCTTAGGAAAATGAACTTGAAATTACTAATATCAAAAACAATCTTATAAATAACCAGCTCATTAACGACGAGAAAATTACATTAATCAATAATTTAATGTAATTTTTAAGCTTGACGGTTTAGATTTTCTCTTGGTTGCAAAAAAATATTATATATTTCAGATGGCGAAACCGAAGTCGATCTGCTGGTGCCGGTCGAGAGCGCTCTCAACAGCGATCCACGGGTATTTCGTGCCAAAGGCATCGACAGTCTACCGGCGATAGGAATTCAGGCAAGTGCAGCTCATTTCGTGAACATGGGGAAAACTGTAAATATTCTATCCACTTTTTAGTTATTGAAAGTCGAAAATGCTTTTAAAAATTCTCTGTACTGCGGGCATTTGCCTTTTCAATCTATCGATAAGTCTATCTGTGTACTAATAATAGACCGTTGAAGATGGTGCAGCGGCAAGCGGCGCCGCATAATATGTATATCAATCCCGGGATCGGATCTTGTGTAGCCATTTAAGGGTCCCATACTCCCGGATAGCAGCAGACTCGCACAGGAGGTTAAATAGACTGTTTTAAAACAAAAAAGGTTGTTTCATGTTAGAGACATTTACAAATAAACTGAATTCGTAGACAGGGGATGATTATAATGAGGACTTCAGAATATCTTATATAATTATGTGCATTTATAAAAATAACAGTTACAAATTCTCAATAGCTAGTAATTATAAAAAATCGAATCAGTGCAAGGAATATGCAGTTAATTACTATGTGTATGTAGTTATTCCATAATTGATAGTGGACCTCAACAAACGTTTCCAGTGCTTAGTTTTATATTTTTGCGTATTTCAGTCTACTGTTCGTAAGTTGATACCCAATGAATTTCATTGCATATCCCTCTGCACGATTAGTTTGCGCGTAAATCTCAAGGCTCTTCGCCTTTTCCCTTTGTCCTTATTTCAACAATCCCAACTCACCAACGAGTTCCGGGAATTAACGAAATAATAAGTTCGCCTTGAAAAGGTGCGATAACTGCTTTACTACTTCGTTAACGAGAATTTATATTTCTTAGTTGTACATTGATTGGCCTTAGCAAGTTTTGATCCACAAACTATCTACAATTTCGGATGGGAAAAAATTTCGTGGCGAATTCCTGAACCTTTCTGGCGTGGCTATTGCCACCATCAAATCAAAAGGTCTGCATTACCGGTGCAACAGCATATTCCTACAACCTTTGCTTTGCAATTCCGGGATCTCCACAAATTATTATCAACCATGAGTAATCTTATTCAGATACATTGCGTGAGTAGTATCGTGGCCCTCAGTGCGCCCTTCATGCATATGTTTTTTTTAACCACCAGCAGTCCATTCCGATCAGCTAATTGAAAGTACACAAAGGAATTATGCCTCTGAATCAGTAGTAGGCCCAACTGCGCAGCACCAAAGATCGCTGGCTATTGATCAAGCTCGAAAGCCTCCTGGAAGGTGTGCAGGCTGATAAGCTATGGTAAATATACCATAAATGTGTTACGGCGAAACGGTGGAGGTGCCGTGGTAGCGTAATTTGTAGCGCACTTGTCCGCAAGCAGGCGATGCGGGTTCCAGTTCAACTTGGGACAAGAGTTTTGTCCATAACCCAGCATTCCCGTGAAGCTTTCTGAAATGCATTTGAAACATTAACGCTTTGATTACTTAAAAACTTTCGCGATGCTCCGCAGATTGTAGGCCAACCTAAAGATGCTGCTCATGTATAGAAACCATGCATTAGGTGTTTAGGGTCAAGTACTACCCCAGAGAGCGATTTTAGTCTTTCAAGCTTTCATAGAAAATAATGAAGCAGTTGACGTCGATCAACGTAATTTTTAAGATGCGCCACGAATCCCACTTCTGTTCAGGCTCGTCGCAGCGAATGGCTACGGATTGACCAAATATCCCATTTAGATTGCGATCTCTTTATCAAGTAACCTGCTAATGTCCTACGGTAGTCGGTTCATGTGGAATTTTTTTCATATCTTTCATTCAAATGTGTTATATTGCCAAGTGCTTGAGAGCGAATCGAACTATCGACGAGGAGCTTCTGAGGCGTGTCTTGGACCGCTGCGCTATGAACTACCCTATCCGCAAGTGAATTCGAAGCTCTAGGTTTTTCACAGTTGTCGATTATATTATTTCGCTTGTTCTATATCTGATCTATATCAAAATCCAAGCTTTGAAAAACTTATCTAGAACTTTTTTTGCAGAAGGCTTACTGAATAAGTAAAACAACCTCGATAGCGCAATTCTATTCGATTGGCTGGTGAAAACGAAATTGCAAAATGACGGTATTGTGGTGTTGTTGCTGTTTTTCGGCGTTGCTACTTTAATTGCCCGTTTCTCTGCCGTTTTGCAACAAAAACTGCACAGCAGTCGTGGTTGTTGTTCACCGGGCGGTCTGCTGATTTCTCAGCGCTCTCTCTGTAGAGAGAAAGCGCGCCTGATGAGGCCGCCGTGCATACGACGCGTAAATTCGTGGCTTCGCGGTTTGCGAGTCAACAGCTGAATGTCCGCGATTTAGCCGCCCACCTGGTGGCAAATTTTTGGATAGCTCACCTGGGGAGCCAGGAGGGCGCAATAACTGCAATGGTAGTTAGGTTACTAGATATCATAAATGGGAATGAACAACAATAGCAAATAGTATAAAGTAGTGGTTATTGTCCGGCGCACTAACGCACTACTTGTTTTACCAACTCAGTGGTAGAGTTTCGGGACCCGTTTTACCAATTCAGTGGTAGAGTTTCGGGACCCTTTGATCCCTCGAGAACGGTTCAGCAGGCGTATGGCATTTCCCAGCTTCGACATCTCCACAGGTCGGTTCCCAGATTTCTTTGCACCGTACAAAGACGCGTGGCCGATCAGCCAGATCCGTTCATGACTTGAATAATGGGGCTTTTCCGAAGCAAGTCAACTAGGCAGCGTTCGTCCTGGACGTGCCGCGCACTTCTATCGCCTTCCAAAATGCATTTTGGAAAACTTGCCCAACAGAGTGACAGAAGGATATGCGAGTGCGTGTAACAGTGAATTTTCGAGCCATGGCAGCATCAAAAAATCGCTGTATGGACATGGGCATAGTAGAAAAAGCATAAAGTATTTGCCGTTGATCAACCTTGCTTGTTAGGATGCGGTGGACATTCTACTCCCATTTGTATATTCGTGGTGGTAACAAGTCTGTCACCTGTCAACCGACTCCGGTGGGATGGAACACTTGGTTGGCCTGGACTACACACGACCCGCTTACCACTAAACCGCTTCCGCTTTCTGGACATGGCCATCAACGAGATTGTTCCCAAATTTCCTCTAGACGTGACTATACGCTCTGCCACGACCGGTCTGACGGATATCTGCAGCGTATCTCAGGGAATGTAGAGAGAATATTATGTTTTTCTTAGGTCCCCAATACATATAGGGCGGAAGTGGTGTAGTGGCAAGTGGCACGCTTACCACGCGAGCGGTCCGGGGATCAAATCCTGGGTCGTGAGTCGCCCGGGCCAACCAAGCCTTCCATCCCTCCGGGGTCGGTTAATTGGTACCAGACTTGTCTGGGAGGATAAAAACACTGACTTGTACATCGGCTGGCCCCGCAAGTCATTGTATAGGCCACATCGCATTCAAACGCCACTACGAATGTACAAATGGAAGTAGAATGCGTGCCGCATCCCAAAAAGGGATTGATCAACGGCAAATGCTTTATCCTTTATCCTTTAGGTCTCAAATGTATCAAATATAAGTTCAACTTTGATCAGTTATGCCGCTTGAAAGTTTTCGGACTAATGTGAGAGCGATAGTAGCTTATTGTCTCCTTCCATTGCAAAATGCACGATGGGTAATCTTCTACATGTATATATTAATTTATTCACCTCCTACCTTTGCTATTGCTTTATTTTTGCTCAATTTTATTATTATATTCATGTACCTTAATTGTCAACAATAGCTAAATAATAGTAAAGTAAAGGTAAGCTATTGGCAAGGGGAACCCGCGCTAGAGTCATAGAAGTATGATGTTCATGTAGATATT